CTTGCCTACACTCCCCCTTGCCTTCACTCCCCCTTGCCTACACTCCCCCTTGCCTACACTCCCCCTTGCCTTCACTCCCCCTTGCCTACACTCCCCCTTGCCTACGCTCCCCCTTGCCTTCACTCCCCCTTGCCTACACTCCCCCTTGCCTACACTCCCCCTTGCCTTCACTTCCCCTTGCCTTCACTTCCCCTTGCCCTAATATTATAACTGAAAAAGGGTGATCGATTCCTTACTTCGTACCATCTAGTTTTTCCAAGGGACCATTCAATTTTTATCGTCAATAGATCCTCTTCAAAAAACGAGTAATTCTGAGCTACTTGCCGATTCTATCATATTTCTAATAGTGTTACTATTTTTTCAGTCTCCAGTTCCAGCTGCTTTGGCATTAGATAGAACCAATATGGATGGAAGACCTATGTTTATATCACCGTGCGTCGATAAAACAAAAACCCCAACCTCGTTCAAGGTAAGGTGTTATTATTTACGTCTAAGGCACCGAAAAAAAACGTGTCCACACGTAGCGTTTTCGAATCATTATCGCCCGTTTCATTATCACAGGTTTCTGATAACAATATATTTTTCAGTGGTCGCCCCATTAAGCGTGTACTTGAATTTAAATATCTAGGAATTACTTTTGACGAACATCTTTCATGGAATTGCCATATCCAGTGTATTTTATCCAAAGCTGGCAAAAGGCTAGGTATGCTAGGGCGCATTAGGAATAATTTAACATCGCATTGTGCGAATATTATTTATGCATCCTTTATTCGCCCTGTTCTTGAATATTGTGATACTGTATGGGGGTGCTGTGGCATAGGAAATGCTACATCTCTAGAGAGCCTCCAGCGGCGTGCTGCAAGGATAGTTACTGAAATTGGTGAGAGTAATATAGCCTTAGATGCAGTTAAATGGCCCTCTTTACAAAGTAGGCGGGATGATCATGTGTTTAAACGTGTTAAGAAATGTATCAATGGGAGTTGCCCGCAATTTTTCAAAAATTATTTAACTTTTAACAACGCTATTCATAGTAGAATTACAAGACAAAGTAATATGTTACATTTGCCAAAGGTTAAAACTGAGCTTGCCAAGAAATCATTTTATTATCATGGATGTATTGTTTTTAATAGGTTAAGCAAATGATTTATAGGTCTATTTTATATTTTATGAATTCATCATCATATTTTATTTATATAGCTCTTCGTATTTATAGCTTAATTGAATACATTATTGTAAATATTGCAGATTAATAGTATTATAGCTAGCTCCTTTTAGTGTCTATTTTATATTGTATATTGTGTATATGTTTAAAAGAGCTCCTTCTGATAGCCAAAGGCATTTTGCCACTGACTGGACTACCCTGTTGTTATTTTATTTAAGTTTAAATAAAGGTGTCTATCTATCCAAACGCAATTATTTTCGGTGAAAAAGTTGCGTCGTTAAGGCCAATCCGCAAGGGAAAAAATCCGTTTCCAAATATATCCGGATACGTGTAGGACGCGTGGTTTCCTTAGCAGCGGTCTTAATTGTCGCGGTTCCACTCCCTCAAACTTGTATTGGTTGTAACAAGGTGATTTGATCCCGGTTCCCTGCTAGAAGAGTCAATTTTTATTTGGTATTAAAGGAAGGAGTAGAGACTGCTCGCAGGGATCCGGAATGATCCTGGTTACTCAGCTCGAAATGTCTCACCATTAGCAAAGATTTTTCCTAATAGATTGACATTTTCTTGATGTGATCTCATTTTAACTGAGGGTTTAAAAAAAACATCCAAAATTGATTGTCTTGTCTAAACCTTTCTGAAAACTGTCTCCTCGCTAACCGAACCTTTTTTTTTTTTTTTTTGTAAATGACTTTCATTTCAATATGAAAGTAATGAATAATAAATCGTTTTAATTTTGATCATAGCAGGTCGTATTAGAAAGGGATTTTTTATATTTGCACCACGCGCGCCAGCTGTTTGTGACGCGGCTTATCTTCTTTCCCGCAACTTTACCAAATAAGCAATAAGAAGCTAAAATAAGAAGTAATAGAAAGTGCACAATCTTTACTAAAGTATACTGACGCACACTGTCTGATACATTAGCCATTCTTTACCCTTTTGGCTATGCCGATGGGTTCAGAAGTAAGCTCAGTAGCTATACGTATATTGGTAATTTTCAATGGGAATACAAGGATATAGTTCTGTCTGCCTAGGTCAGGTTTTGTTGGATTTCTGGTCCAAACAACCAATTGTCTATAAATTTAAGGGTTTGGTATATGTTTTAGCTTAAGGCTCGAATATAATAACTGGAATTTCAGTAAAGTCCGAACACCCAGTGCACATAAAAATGCGCTATACCGGCAAACTTGGGCTGAAATTGAAAAGGCAGGGAACCAAAAAATGAAGGTTTCAAAAAGTCTCTTATCGCTAATTATATCGTATTTCCCTTTTCATATTTTAGCTCGAAGGTGGCTTTATCCTTTCCTTCACCATATTCCAAAACGAATTTTTCTCTAGTTTGCTTTTTTTACACCAACACCTTTTCCAGACCTACCATTTACATCTTCGATTTCCGCCGGGCGCCGGCAACCAAAATCGATTTTTTTGGTTTTCTCAATATGAACATCCGTACATTTAATATAGGTGATAATATAGTTTCTCGTTCAATTTGGAAGAAAAATTTGCGCTCGTTTGTTTACGGCCTCATGCAATTACAGACTCTTTCAAAAATAAACTCGTGCAAATTATTTCCAAATTGCACTTGAAACTATACCTATACTATAAATAACATACATGAAAAAAATTACAAAAGAAAGAGACGAAAATATGTGAAATATTCAACGCATTAAGCTTAATATTTTATGTGAAATTCGTTCGTTCACAACCAACTACATTCAAATCGATTTTGGTTTCGAATACATGTAATTCGTATAATTTTTTATCTATTTTGAACGAAAAATTGGCTATATGTTTATTGTAAGAAGCTTTTTTTACTGTTAAGTAAATCTGAATCACTATGAATGAAGACATTTGGATTGGCTGACTTTGCAGCTAACTAAAGTTGTAAGACATATATTTAAAAAATTATACGTGACACTAGTTAATGAAAGTGTTCAGAAAACTTTGCGGGTCAGCTTGGGATCTTGTAGACCAAAGTATCGTTTAAGCACTTACCACATCGTGTTTAATGGTCTTGCTCATAGTCTTTTTCGTTTCTGTTTTAGATTTTTCTTTACTTCGGCAAAGAATCGCTCGAGTATTTTCTTTAGTTCGGCTGGCTCATTTCCCTCATTTCCCTCAATTCATGTCATACTTTGTTTCCTTCCCGCTATTTCTTCCATATATTCAGCCATAACGATGTACTCTTACTTGTGTTTTCTTTTTTGAACTGTTTTTTAGTTTTTTGCATAGTAAAATCCGTAAAATCTTTGCTTGCATGCTTTCACCTAAAATAAAATGGCTTCCATTTTCCCCCTCGATTTGCTTCAAATTTTCCTCAAATTTTTCGTCATAAAAATCTGTCATCTTATTGGCTGAAATCATTTTCTATTGTTCATTATCCAATCAAATGCGAGTATTCTGTTTGTAATTTGCACTGTATTACACTTTTCTGCACTTTTTTGCACTTTTTTGCACTGTATTACGTTTTAACAACACTGCTCTAAGCCAATCAGAATTGAGTATTTTTTTCATGTATGTTTTACTTATGTAATATTCCAAATAAAACCAAATATGAACAAATGTCTGGCTGTGGCTATCGATGATTTTTACAGGCATGCCCTCTTTAATAATAGCTACGATTACGAGTATTCCATGTGCAAACTCGCGTCATGCCGGGGCGTTTTGGTGCTAATTCAGCGCGCCGGAGATTAGTTGAGCTCATTCCACGTGATTTTCGCGCGCATCCTAAAGAATACTCAAAAATGAAAACGAACAACAATTTTTATGATTTCATGCAAAAGAATACTTGATGATTGTAAGAGGTTACGCGTTAATACAAAGCCGGCTATAGTTATTAAACTTGTTATGCGTTACTTGAGTTGCGTTTATAGAAACGATATTATTGTGCTTTCGTGCGGCTGCTGCCTTTGAAACAGCCGTCAGTATTAATGACTTAAGTGATCATTTTATACACCTATGTTTTAAAACGTTGTCGGTCGGAGAACGTATAACTCTAAGACCGAAATGAATTGTGGGCTGTAAATGAGCTGTGAATCGTATTCAGTATTATCTAAATATGCCAAGTTTATGCGATGACCTGCTCTAGCGAATCGTCTGTCTAGTTGTTTTAAAACACTCAGACCCCCACAATTCTACTCGGTCTCAGATTTCAGATCTCCAACCGACAACATTTTTTGAAATAGGTGTATACACCTAATCCAAAAAACGTTGTCATCGCCAAAGGCGATAGGCGATAGGTCATTCCGACATGGAAATGGTTTCGTTGAATACAAAGAACATCGAATCAGTCTCAGCACGAAGGTCCATACTCTTGACGAGAATAAGAATAAGAAACACAAGTCATTCCAGCTATTCTTGGATCTTGGAATGACCCATCTCCTATCGCTTTTCGCGATGACAACGGTTTTTTTGAATTAGGTGTACAATATTTTGTAATTATAGCTTGTCTATGTAACGGCAATATTTTATTGTATTTGCATAGTGCCAATATACGTTCAAAAATCATCGCAAGCACTTTCGAGAGGCCGTTCATTAACTGAATTAAGATAAATACTTAATATAAGAATCTTTATTTGTACAAAAGGACTCGAAAAAACGTTCTTTATTGATTTTTAGTAGACTGAAAAATGATTTTATTGAGTAGATATCCAAGCAACGCTTTCGTTATTACTAACTATAATTTATTATTTTCTGATAAATTTATGGTGTGACAATCGAGTAAAATTCTTAGTAATCATGAATTTATGATTTTCTGATAGTTTTGTAACTTGACAATTTCCCTGCTATCAGTGTCTCTCCTCTTTCTCTCCCTTCTTTTAGGCGGGGAGGAAGGAGACTCTGCCAATGTAGAGCGTTTCCTTTGATACACCGCCGTCCACGATTGTGGACGAACAAAACCAGTTTTAAAATCGGTTTTTAACTGGGTACATGTAGTGCGCATGAGCAAATGTAACACACCGTGGCGCCAAACGTTGTTTGACGAGAGCGGCTGTCAAAATCATGACAGCGTTGCTAAGTTACGCCACGCAGGCGCGACAAATATAACATCCTACATCGGCAGAGTCTATTTTTCTCACTCCACCAAAACAAAAGGAAAATAGGCTCTGCTAGCCGGGAACTTGACAATTTGACAAGCTAGTAAATCAATGAGACACTCTTGGTTTTAAAACTTACAGTCTGCCAATATAAAATAAAAAGATTGAGAAAGGACAAACGCTTTTACCGGAATCAAGGCTCAAGAAAAAGTCATTAGAACCCACTTCGTACTTGAGATTTCACTTTAATGTTTAGTTCGTTAAGCTGGCATGTTCAGTAGGAACTACTTGAAATTGTGATATAGTTAATCCTGACTTCAAAGGTGTACTCTAGAACAATAGTTTTCAGTGAAATATGTCACCCATGCACTTTCAGAAGCGTGGGAGATAATCCACTCACATAAACGTACTTTCATATTGTCGTAGCTTGAACAGTTACATGGGATTGTGCGTTTCATTGCACTTGATATCCCAGATGCATTTCTTCCGTTCAATCATGATATTCGATCTCATTTTTATTTGATTTTGTGGCATGGGTGGGTGGCACGGGTTGATACTGACGGCGCTGACTCTCACTACTGTCGGTACAGGTAGTACATGAATTGAGTTTGTTTGTTTGTTTGATGTGTTCTCTCTCTTGCGACGCGATTTTTTTGGGGGGGGTCCGGTTTTCCTCCCTCCCGCGTAAAAATCAACTGTCAGTTTGAGTGTTATGTGTTGTAAATAATGAATGTAGTGGTGATGCATGCATGTGGTGCAAACCTCACGAAAAAGGCCCCTACGGTGAGTCATGGTTGTAAAATATATTTTTTTATACGTCAAAAGAAATCAATTTTTTTTTACTTTACTTTACTTTACTTTATTTAGTGTATTTTATAAAAAGTTTGTACATTTGTGGGCAAAATATATATATATATATAAACAACTCAATATTGTTAATTAGACTAGAAACAATGACTTTCAAATGTCTGTTTTTATCATAATATTTTGTTATTCCTGTCACTGATAATGACAGTATAGTAGAACGGTCGAAACATGTCTGGTTACTAAATCTAAACCTAAAGTGTCGTGTTTTCCATGACCAGTTACATTATTATGATATATGAGTGTGGACAATGACATGCCAAATATTAGTTCACTACTTTCAGTTTTTGTCATAAATTTTCAAAAAGTTGAAGGAAAGCTTTTTTTGTTTTAGCTTCGACATACATCTAGATTCTGCGTGTAAAAATTATCCAATCCATGGTAATTTGTTTCACATTTGATTATGTTTAAAAGGAAATTTTTTTCATTAATGAGCAATAATGGCAAAAAGCGCCAAAAACTAGACTTTCGTATGAGCTTTGATCCAAATTTTCGTTTTGGGTTAACACTCAAAACCTTTTTTAGACAGTTAGAAACTGATGTACTATGATAAAATGCCTGTTTGAAGCGGTAGTTTCATTTTGTATATGTACAAAGATGTTTTGTTGCATTTGTGTTAGAATGTTGCTTTGTCAGGCTTTTTTATAGAAAATATACGGGAAATAAGCAAATGAAGGCGTAAACCTCATTTTCGAATAAAATTTTTGCTTTGGGTTAAGACTTTGATTCCATTTTCATCGGTCATCTCCACTTCCAAACAAGTTTCTGAATAATACGATTTTAGCCTTGTACAACAGCCGTTATTCAAGAATATAGTTTTTGGCGCTCACTCCTTGAATACGAAAAGAATTATCTCAATCAATTATGCGTGGAATTCCCTTGGAATATATCGGGATATCTCAGATATCCCTGATTTTTGCCCTTCAAATTAATGATATGTTTCTGACTCATTACATAAAGCTAATTACCTCACAAAAACCCCAGGTTTTATACTACTGCTATGTTTTGGTTTTAAACAGGATTTTCCATCTTAATAGTCTCTTATTAAATCTTTAAGGATGGTGTGTTTTATGTTGGTGGATGTAGCTCTATTAGAAAAAAACTTCGCCCTAAAGGTCTGGAAACTCCTCGAAAAAACCTTCTGAAGTCTTTTATGAATATGAAATAAATACATGGGCTTAAGGCGGAGTTCAATGAAATGAGATACCGGAATAAGTACATGAGATTGATTCTTTTTTTGCAGCTTGTTTTTTGAGGGTAAAGTTTGTCAAAAAATACGAACATATGATAAGGCGTTGAAAGTAGGACAAACGCGCAAAGCGACCACTGAATCATCCTCACGGCACTCCTGATCTTCTGTGATCTTCGTTTTCTTTGCCTTGCTTCTGATACGTTGACAGACCCTTCAGACTTGCTCAGCTTTCTTAGAGTTTGGAATCCGATGAGAAAAACGGATATGTAAAGAAAAACGTAAGTCGTAAAGAGTGCAACTAAGTAATTGAAATAGTGTGGATTGTTGCCGTCGGTTGGGACACAATAGGACTTGCCTTGATGCTTGTGAAGGTCAACCCTGAATAGTTCTACGGCGTAGAGTATAGAAGGAATAATCCAGCACATACTCAGACATATGGACCGCGTAGAATACGACATACCGTTAACTCTAGTCATCGATGTAACTCCACGATATCGCTCTAACGTCATGAAGAACAGGGTCAATGGGGATACCAATAGTAACATAGTACACATGAAGTTCACCATTCTACAGGTCATTCGACCAGGTAAACCTTCGATTTTCCAGTTCCATGTGCCAGAGATCATTTGTTCTGCTATCAGTGTATTCGTTAGAGACGCAAGCAAGATATCGCTGACCGCCATGTTGATGATGAAATAGTTGATGTTCTTTCGCATCCGCTTGTACTTGTACACTGGATAAATTACCAACGTATTCAGTAGAATAGTCACAACTAGAACAGCAATACAAGCTGTAATCTTAGCTGTTCTTGCCGCCCTACCATCGAAACAGTCCTCTGCAGCTTGTAATGTAAAATTTCCCGGTGTTATAGTTGTATTGAAAACACTATAATTGTCAATTGATTGGTAGTTCTGCTCGTCCATGGTATCTCTGTAAAATGAAATGCCTTTGTTTATCAGCAGCTATTTTAACAAGTAAGATCTCCTTTAGCTCTGTCGTGCTTTTGTTAAACGCTTGTTTGCTTTGATATTCAACTTCGTTGGAGTGTAAATCCTCTTATTATTAAGTTAAGTAAAAAATCGGTTAATCCCACATCTGCTTTGTGCTCACATAGATAAAACCTAATTTTCCTTTCCAGAATTCTTATTCTGAGTTTTTAATGAAATTTGTCCGCATATAGCATTTGATCGAGTGTTTTCGTTCGATGGTGGCATCATCGTTCCTTTAAAAACCTCTTTGCTTTCACATGGAGTTTACCAGAATCTCTCCGTGATAATCGGCCTTATAAAACACAACGGAATCACCTTACAGGACTGAGATTACTTGTATTTACGTTAAATAAATGTTAAAACTCGCGGGTTTTTACGACGATCATTAGAAATGTAATTACTTCTTTACTCAGTTGCCGCGTTTTACGTGGATCAGGAAAATGAATTGCAAAACATGGAGGAAAATTGATCAAACTTGCTGTTTCTATTGCCTTTCGCCAGTTACGTCGCAGATGAACGAATGAAACGATGTAACGAATGAAGGATTAAGCGGTGGAGTACTAACCTGTTCTCATAGATTCAAAATTTTTTCGGATCGTTTTTCTAGAAAAAAACACTAAAAATTCGCAGCTGGACTCAATTAATAAAGTAGTCTGCAAACAGCCACACTTAAGACAATTTATATGTCATTTCTCGAAAGAATCGTTCTTTCTTGATTGGAAGGAAACGATTGACTTGAAAATGAAACGTGAATCTTGAGCTGTCTGATTTATTTATCATTCGTGAATTTTGATGTTTACCTAAGCATCTTGGTCACCTGTTTTCACCTCTCGCTTGTAAATTGATTCTTTTCAAAGTCATAAGACAAATGTGGGATGGATTTAAAGCTCTTAATGAGCTCTTGCGTGCGTCATGACAACTTCTAAAATGTATTGCCTATCGTTAAGCTTTTTCCTTACTCTTTCTGTAGAGTTATTTCTTTATTTCTCACCCAACAACAGTACTCAAAACACTTCCAAAGAAAGAGAATTAATCATTAATAGTTAAGAATAATCATTCTTTGCGTAAACGCGATCGGCTGTGACAGATAAGCCTTCGGGGTTTTACTTTAACATTCAAGATAGTATTATCTCAACTTCAAAATCGAGGACCATTACTGTTTTTTAATTAGATGATTATCTTCTTGAGCCACTCGTCTTAAAATTGGCTTACATTTATGCAGATGACTGATTTGAATTAATTAGCAAAAGTACCTTGCAATGCCCAATAGTGTCATATGTACTCTCAGGCCCCGTCCACACTATGCCGGATAATTTTGAATCCGAATTTTTATTTATTGGGTTAGGCCTACCGTCCACACTAGTCCGGGCAAATCCGGAACAATTCTTCCCCGAAAACGAATTTTTTCGTTTTCGATTTCCAGAGTGGAACAATTTGAAAACGCCGGCTAGCCGTATTAGTGTGGACGGAGAACGTTTCGTATCCGGAACTTTTCGAATACGATGATGTCATGATTGTCATGGGAACATGGCGGGAAGGCTAAAAATTCACCGCGGGCTCAATTTCAGCTTCGATGCACATGCTCAGATAAGCAATGAAGTGTTTTTGCCGCCTCTGATCGGACTAGTGTGGACGCGAAACATTTTATCCGTTGTCATGTGTGGACGGAAAACGTTTTTTTCGGTTTCGGTGTGAAAGTTACGGATTCAAATTTATCCGGCATTTTTTCTTTCACAATGCTCAGTATGGTTTCTCCGATCCTCCCTTATCATAGTATTTTCTCAGTATTACTATATTTAGGAGGTTTCCATTTTGTTATTAATTTTCATTGGTATATTAAATTTATAACGTTCATCAATTTTGCAGATGTCATATTTTTCTTTCATTCTCGACTTTCACATCCCCATAATCCTTTGCGTCTTTGGGGGGTAACGAGAGGGTAAAAACCCACTTATTTTGCTGAAGGCTGATCAGACAATGTTGAAAATACCTTGTTTGGTATCCAAAGACAAAATGAAGAAGTAAAAAACAGAAAAAAATAGAAGCTTGAAGACGTTTAAGGTAAATTTTAAACATTTTTTCGTAAGTCAATACATTTTCTGTAAGACCAAAACTCTTGACGATCTGTACATGCAAAAATAACTTGGAATAAACTGATAATCAGTATTGTACAGATAAAAGCAGGTATAGTATAAATTCAATCAAGAAACCTTTGAATTTGGGACAGTTTTTTGATTGGTTACCTCCCAAAAACGCAAGGCATTATGGGGATGTGAAAGTAGAGAATTCTGTAAATTTGTAGTCAATACAATAAATAAAGGTTAAAACGCTAGGGCGAGGGTTTGCATTGAAATTCAAGATAGAGGGCCGCAGGCATTTTAACTGGTTTAAAAAACAACCAAACCCTATTGTTAATGTTTGATGGAGGGTTTGAATTTCGATGGAAAACCTGTGCCGGGTTTTGAATTCAGCCCCGCTCTCCCCTGTTAGTATCAATGCTAAATTCGAAACCCGGGACAGGTCTTCCATCGAAATTCAAACCCGACATCATACAATAGAAATAGGGCGTGGTTGGTTTCTAAAATTGCTTAAAGAATTATGTCCTATTAACAAACATAACAAGGACAAMGGGAATGAAGGACCTCCTGTGCTGTGCAGGTGTAAAACAATGTACGATTTTCATCTGTACCCCCTGCTAACGGAGCCGTATAAGTAGAGTTACCAATCCAACGTGAACTAGTCCATCTTGCCGCGCGCAACTGACTCATGCGCTTGATAGATTTTTCCCCACTCGGCAGATAAAATTATGACCTTTTTAAGAAGAATCCGCAGTTTAATGGAAGTCTATCGATTTTTGAGCAAGTTGTGGAAGACAAGAGTATGTAAAAATCACTTTTAAAAAGTTGGTCCGTAACGGCACACGCGACTCAAACACAAAGTTTCGAATACAGCTGCTTTAAAAGCCAAAATGCCTAAGCTACTACGGGAAAAATTCAGAAATATCCGAGGGTTTTTGACCCGATACGAGCAAGAAAAAATTACAAAATGCACTCGCAATAGACCTCTTTACTAATACTGTAATACGGCAACCATTCTGAATTATAAGATGCCCAGGGAAGCAAACGTAGAAATATTTATACAGCACTTTACGCTTTGGTGTTTTACCTATCGCTTCAACTACCAGTAATTTCAATTGGTTTTTAGATGTGTTTCACATTGGATAAACGTAAAGTCATAAATAAAGACATTTTCTAATATTTGCTCTCTCAGCATCCCTTATTCTCTTACTTAAAACAAGAATGAATGGCGACTACCTCGTATCTTGCCGAGGTTTCGCCGCGGCCATTTTTCTCGTACTGACTGAGTAAATGGTTGCCGCAAAAGTCCCTTACGGCAATATAGTGATTGAATGCCTGCTAGCAAAAAACTATACTCGTACGAATTTCGTAAGATCAATCTAATTGAAAGATTAATACTACATAAACTACGTTGGTATTTGATTAGTACCACAACGTTACATTATTCAAGTAAATCAGTGGATTTGCGAGGTTCATAAAATAGCCGCCGATTATCAGAAAAACAGTATCACTGGAATTGCTAACAGAACATAAGAATTGTATATATTTTTAAACAGTTTGCGACGTCGTTGGACAAGAACACCTTGTTTGTATCAAATTTACCGTTTGAGATCAAAGAATCTGAAGTGGAGCAAGCATTTAACAAGGTATAGAGATAGATGTTTCTGAAGACTGGTGCTTATATTTAGTATGAGATATTCGTTGACCCAACCACACAATCTTATATTGATGGTTTTCACGTCGGCCATGTTGGAGGAACTTAACACTGAAAAGAATTGTCAATGAATTCTTTTGTTATGTCCTCCAACATGGCCGAAGTGTCTTTTGTTATTTACTTCTCTTGGAAATGGTTGAAAACCATCAATAGGTTGCGTTTTTCAAGCCTTCGTTCAGTTTTTGCCTTAACGCCCCAATGTCGCACCCTATAAGAAGAGCTGTCGGGGTTGGCCAAAACAAACAACAGTTTTCATTGTCGACTCGTTCTATTTTTTTCTGTTTCTTATTCTATTATGTTCTTATAGAGCTGCGAACTTGGCCCAGCGCTCCCGCCATTTTTGGTCTCCTAAATGTTTGTATTTTTTCTTGTTGTTAGCATGGCAAGGTTAAACAAGTACGTCTCGTTACCACAAGAGCAGGAAAACCAAAGGGGTATGGTTATGTTGAATATGAAGACGAGGTATGTTATGTCGCACTTAAAAAAATCACTTTGGATGCTAATACTTTTAAGGATGAGGGCAAAACAATTGTCATCTCACGGGACCCGATTTAGGGGGGAGGGGTGGTGTTACCCGGTACCCACCACCTCTGGAAGTGAAATCTTAGATTTTGTCCCTAAATATCTTCAAAACCAAAAGCCAAATCACATAAATGAATGGACTGTCTGTCTGCATGTATGCTAAAAACATATTTGTGTACAGAAATTGCCACTACATACCCCCAGTATCGAGCATTTGAACAGGTCTCTGAGGGGGGAGAGGGTATGTACCGGTACCCACCACCTTAATTCATAAAATCGGGTCCCTATGTTGGACGATTGTTTTGACCTCGCCCTTGAGGTCAACAGGAAAAGGGTCCCATATAAAGACATACATTGTACATAAACCATTCCGAAGTTGAGGAAAAGAACCGTGAGTCAAGTTGTCATTTTTGTAGTGCAACGTTTTAGGGGACGTATTTTTTATAGCGAATTAATGAGCAACTGGTAGTGTCAATGAGCTGTCAACAGGACATGTCAACCTCATACTCTGACGTCATAGGTTGCGTTACTAAATATCTCTAGGACCAATCAGTGTTAGACTTGCTTGGAAAAGACGTTTGACTGCACTCTCATCTTGGTTTAAAGTTTATTTATTTATTTATTTATTTGAAGGAGTATATTGGCATTTGTTTTCGTTTGCTAACCCTTGTCATTTTATTTTATATTTTTAGAATAGTGCCTCAAAAGCAATAATGGTAATGGATGGCTTTATTCTGAACGATCGGACTATTTCGGTAGCCTTATCGAATCCACCATCCAGGAAACCATCTCATTCTGAACCTGCTGCACCCCCTCTCCCCGCTCCAGGAAGGTAGGTGGCATACTTCACATACTTCACATACTTGACATACAGTAAAAACCAGTAAGAACCTAGATTTTAAGAACCTGTTAGATTTTTAAGATTTTCCATTTAGCCTCCCTTGACATAAGGAAATGCTTTAGACTAAAATTTCAAAGTAGTTTCTTATTTTATCAAATAGAGTTAAAACAAAAAAAGTATAACCCAAAGAAAATAAGTTAGACAAAGATTTTGCACACAGTAAGCTTTAAATTATGTACAGTGTAGCTTTAAGGTTCACATAGGGTTTGTATATAGTATTTGCTTGGATTTCAGTCATGTAGAGAAAAGATATGCATAATTTATATGAATAATAGACTACACCTACCATAGAGTCAATGCATTTAACCCGTGAAATAGATATTAGACTAATACACTTTAGTAGACCCCAATTCCATTTTTTTCTTTTGTGTCTATTTGATCATTACACGTTGACTAGTATTTTTATTTCACGGGTTAAATGCCTTCACTCTAAACAAGTCGCTTTTAAGAAAATAAGAAAGTGTCACTGCTGTTGTTGGCGAGTAGCGAGTAATATTGTTCGAACAAAGACATTTGTGTAGGCTATTTCTGTCAAAATAATTCATGTTGGTGTTCTTTAGTTGAAGTAATCTTGTCCCAGTTACACCATACTTTGTTGTTAATTTATTTTCTTTCTGTGTTAATTGCCCTATAAAACACTACTTCACCTTGTTGAAGTAAAAGATAAAAAGGATGGCCTTTTTTTATCTGACTGGATTTGGTAATGATGAATAATGTTTTGATTTAAGTCGAGGACGTTCCAAGACCCAAGTGATGCTGGTCCCTAGAGCGCTTCAGAAGAAATCCGCGCCCACGTCATCAACGTCGTCGTCAGTTGACGAAACTGTCGAAGGGAAAGAAGAAGCTAGCAAAGGGTTTAGCAATGATTACTTTAGACAGCTGTTGCAGAAGAAATAAATAGTTTTTGTTTCTCATGTGGGTTACGTGAGCATCGTGCATGTTATTAGTGTAGGAGAACTACTTAAAAAAAATTTACTACGAAGACGTAATAATTTTTTATAGGGCTTTTCTTCTCTCTCTTTCTGTTACAACAGTCGACAACAGGAAGTCTACACAGATTACCGACCGATAGTTTAAATAAAGGTTCAACACGCCGTTTTAGCATAGATATATAATCTTACTCAGGTAATACAGATATATAGTGCGACAAGTTTTACTTTTAGTGCTGAACACTCTTGTATATAAAGAGCAAAACTAACGTCAAATTCATGATAAAAAAATAAATGTTACTGTTATTAAAGTTCAAAGTTTATGAAATTGTCTTATGAGTTTTGGAGTATTTCAGGACGAGTGCCAAGGAAAGGCCACTGACACACGTCTTAATGTCAAACAAATTTGTAACAAAGCAGGACGATATTGTGGTTCTTCTCCAGGGGCGGATCCAGGAATCTTAGAAGAGGGGTGACTATAACAAAGGTTTTACCAGGAATTGGCGGAAAAGGGGTGACTGATACTACAACATACTGAGAAATTTGAGCTAAAGGGGGGTGACTAGTCACCCCTTTTACCACCCCTAGATCCGCCACTTTGTCATGTTCAGTTTTGTAGGGGGGAAAATAGATTCTAACCCTACTATACTTAAAATGTGCAACACCATCCCTAATGAAACCACAGGTGGCCCAAGCTATGGCGATACTTAGAAACCTCAACAAACTCGTCAAAATGTGAATACAAAATCTAAGTACACAGGACGAAAGAGGTATTACTTTTCAAAGGTCAGCTAAGGTTTCTTTACTATATTCCACATTTTGACGATTTTATAGAGGTTTTTAAGTATCGCCATACATTTTCGTATAATATGACACCACAGGAACCTAGTTGAGCTACCTTTGATGAAACCTAAACTTTGATTTCATGATCATCCTTATTGGCATCTTGATTGAATCTCTCGACTTCCCGCTGTTCTTGATGACAACATGCACACAATCCATCCTGAGTTCATCTTCCACATACATTACCAATCCCTTACCAGCATTCGGTAGTCTTCGGAGTTTACTCATTGATAACAGTGATAAAGGTAAGATTCTATTGCTGCATAGTTAGTGAACTGACTTGGTGTGTCTACGTCAAATGGGAGTTACAGTATTTAGTTTAAGTAGCTCTTGAACCAGTTGTTGACTCACGGCTTTTGTTATCAACTAAGGTCACCAAGGGGTTACTAGCAAACGAAATTCGACTTGGGTTTGAGGGCTGTTTTAAAGATGATTCCGTGAAGAACAACCTAGATGATACGAAAAACCTATCGCTAGAAATCTTAAAATAGCAAGCATGTAACGGCCCGCGCGAGACCAATATGGACAAAAACAATGCAAATACTGTAATGTTTATACCGAAGTTCATGATCATCATCGCTAGCGCTCCAGTTTCTTTGTATTTTGTATAAATCAAAATATCCGCTAGTTTCATACTCAGTATTGAAGAAATGAGACCAAAAAATGATTATACCCACAACCTGAATGCACGTTAAGTCCCTCAGCGAACCTTTGGGCGTAATACACATAGTAAGTCATAAATTACAGTACTTCAAAAGTAGTGTATTTTATTTTATTTTTATTTTATTTTACTTATAGCCAACTCTTAGGTTATCAATAGCTAGTGGGTTAAAGAAAAGAGACTACAAAATGTATCGCTGAATAATAAGAGATAAATAAGAGAGGCTAGGAATCTACTACAGGTTTTCCTCAATTAACATAGATCCTATCAACTAAACGGCATGAATGAATGATTTAAACTAAACTAACCTAAATTGGTCCTTAGAACTTAACCTAATAATTCTCCAAGCTAAACTAAATGGATCCTTGTAACTAAAGCCGGGAAAGAGGAACAAATGGTCTATACAGAGTAAGACCTTTCAATTAACTTTTCTATTTGATCCTTAAGTCAACTAAACGACTTAAATTAATCCTTAAGATGAAATCGTCCTTTTAGCTGTTATTATGCTAGGCTAGGCTAGGCTAGGCTAGGCTATGTTATGTTATGTTATGTTATGTTATGTTAGTGTTGAGTAGTTGACGTAAAACACCTATACAAACTCCTAGAAATTTTATTACACCCTTATATATTATTCCAATGAAGTTTCAGCCTTTTTTTTTTTTTAATCACAATTGTGAATGTTCTCGCTTTCTGATTGGTCTAGAGCCGGGGGAAATAAGAGGGCATACCGATAAATTGCGTCAGCAAATCACGCGCGCCCTTGGAACTGTTTTTCTTTAAGATTTCCCCCTTGTTTTTGTAGTAAAATTGTCAATTTTCTGTGGCAAAAATATTTTTTCCTCCAGTTTTCAGTGGTATATCCTCTTATTTATCACTTCTAGCCGTCAAATTACGTTGTAGACTCACGAGGCGTAGCCGACGTTTTACAGCTTTTTTGGATGGTTTGTCTGAAAATGAAATATAACTAAAGATAATTCAACACAATATCAGGATTAGTGAAAATTACGATGCATGTCTTTCATTGAACTTGAAATTTCATGATGGTGCAATTTTGTCCTGAAAAAGTACACGGAATCTCCAAAATTTCAAGTTAAATGCAAAAAGTCTCAGTTTTGTCCAGAATTGAAAGTTATATATACTCTTTCTTCATTTAAAAGGATATGAAAGCTACGAAAGAAACTGCTACCACTTTGTGGTTATGTAATATTATCTTGATCAGTTCTCAAATTCTCACAAGTTTGGTGTCCTGCCAGAAAACGTTTGACGAATGTAAAGTCCATGGTATTTTCAGTGATGTCACAATATCCTCAGGAATGAAGGCAGGATTGTATATCCCCTACGATAATCCAAGCGATCTTGCGCAGATGACTGTGACAAAGTGTACAAGTAAATTGCAAATCATAACCCTTTGCGAAGGTCATTAGGACTGATAAAAACCATTTCGTGCATAGGATGTGTATTGTCAGTCCCACAATCCCATATATATAACATTACGAGGATAGTACTAGCTTGCCTATGGTCACTGTTCTATTTTCCACTTACACCCAGAATTTTAGTTAGGCTTTCTAGTGTGAGGTCAATGGGCAGGGGCGGATCTAGGAATTTGTTCAGGGAGGGTTAACCAAAGTTAACCAAGGGAGGGGTGGTGCACCCCTTAGAATCAAAGAGAAAAAACATTATTTTGTATTGGTTATCTTCGAAGTAGGGGCACAGAGTTGAACCAGGGAGGGATGCCCACCCCCTGCACCCCTCCCTTGGATCCGATGGATTTATATGATGGCGTCATTTGACCTTCACTACCAGAACCCGTGAAGGTATTAAGATTGCTGTATGATCTTAAAAACATGATTGCCGACTTGGAAGAGACCGACCAAATAAGGAATGATAGTCCTAAAACTGATTTGTTTGATCGCGCCTTCTTGAAGTCTATTAAGTCTATAAACCTATGTGAGGAAGTTTTGGAGTTTTCGATATTTTTTGGGGGTCGTGTTAGACTGGCGGAAACACATCCAATAATAACCTTGAATTTATTTTATATCCTTTTTAGAGTATTGTTGTAAAAAGCCCGGCATAATCGACATCGTGTTTCTCTTGAACAAATACTGTTATTGTGTCAGTTGCTATTCAGTCAAGCTCTGTCGACTCTTCTCCATCGACCCACCCGAGGGATTCCATCCCGTTGCTGTAGTACTAAACAAAGGTACGTTCGATCAAAAACAAACCCTACGGATTGTATTTGTTACTTATTTTTCTTTTAGCCATGCATGGAAAATGAAATCTGCAATGGCGGATCCAATGAGGTGCAGGGTTGCGGACCCCCGCTGTTATGTTTTTGAGTCTTTTTTTATTTTTATATTTTATTTAGAGTTTCAATATTTCTTATTTCTTATACACACACACACACACACACACACACACACACACACACACACACACACACACACACATATATATGATAATTCGTTTTCCGCATGCCCTTTTTTCAATTAAATACCGTTTTTAACATTCCAACCCGGGACACTTACAATGAAGTTTGCGAAAAATAACTGCGATCAATTGAAATATGTAGAAAATTCGAAAACAATTTTTGGTTCATCCTGAATCCGCCCATGATTTGATGGGGGTTCATTTATCATTTAATGGAGGCTGCGTAGGAAGATGAAGAGGCTATGGGGTTTACAAGGGGAACCATGCACAAACACCATTAGGCAGGAATCAGCTAAACGCAACTTTGGTAGTATTTTTTTTATTATTTATCAACAATATTTATACAGAGGTGCCCAGTTCAGCAAAGCTGCAATAAGATCGATAATTTTTTATACCTCAAAACTTCAATACGAAATTTCTCGAAAATGCTCATACAGATTTTCTTCAAAATTTCTCAACCTTGAGCAACTTACTTATCCTCCAATACGTCGAAAGCAATTTAAAAACTTTGGTCAAAAAATGGAGAAAATAGGCAATAAAGTAAAAGCACAAACGCTTAACAGCGCTCTAATATTAATTCCGATGTCAGTTAAAACATGCTCATTCAATTAGTTCATCTTTCCCTTGAAATGTCTAAAGATAATTTTATTATTGGATTGTTTGCGATTTGAAGTTGCATGGTATCGCGCGGATAAAACCACATGGAGTCACCTTAACTGTTAATGCTGAATGATCAAAAAGAATATCATCCAAAAAGTATTATCAAAAAAAGTAGAGAGAAAAAAAAAAAGAAAATATATAAATCCTCATTTTCTTGAATTAATAAAAGTCGCTTTAAAAATAATAAATAAATATCAAAAAAAAAAAAGATCTAAGGCTAGAAGAAACGAAGAAGAAGAAAAAAGGGTCGAAGAAAGGGCTTTTAATACGGTGGGAATCGTACACGCATCCACCAACTTTAATTAGATAATTAATTCCGAAATGTATAAGAACAAAAGATAGTGCCTTCATGCCATACCCCTAGACATCCGCTGGGTCATCGTATGGTCTTCGGACATGACGGCGATTAAGTCCCTCTGCCCTTGGGTGTACGGATTACGTAGTATAGTGTTCTAGCCGAAGCATCAGGGGAGAGACTAGCCGGCCCCCAGACCATATCTGCAGCTAATCCCTTGCACTCTGCCACGCACTGGCACGTTGATTTGAAGTGGAAAATAATCTAGTCTATCTGGTGCATTGTTTTCATGGCTATTGTTGTGTTAATTTCCTGAAATCGTTGCTCAGTGGAAAAAACTTGGGCTTCCAAGACACTGAGTCAAGCACGTTTGAGTGAGATTACTACTTGGATGGGTGACCTGAAATTCATAGTTAACCAACTTCGTTTTTGAAATTATTTTTTTAAATATCTTTTTTTCATATTAAGATACTCATTCCTGTCTACATGCTGCAAAATGCTTAGTGAGGCTTTTGAATATCACCCATTTTTCAGTTTTGTTACTGACGATTTTAATGTTTTTTTATTTTTGGGGAGTCGTCATTATTATCGTTGCGGCTGTTTTGAATCTTTATGGTATATTTATTAGGCATTATACTTCTTTTTCATCTTCATTCGAGTCATTCATTTTGACCGTCCCGATGTGCCTTGCGAAACAACAAGGCAATCCAAATGTGTCAAAATTGTACTTCCGCCGTGAAGTAGTTCACATACGCCACGAGGCAGTTCATTTCCGCCGTTAGTATTGGGGTGGCTGTGCCGTGATTTTCGGTGGTTGTGCCGTAGAAATATAGTACAAATATAAGCTCATTTTGACTAATCATGCTGGCAGGAAAAGCTAAATAAATGGTGAATTCCCGGTTTATTAACATCCAATTACCGCAGGATAGGAAAATCGCGATTCAAAACTAATCGCGACTACGACGGCCAATACGTACGGGATATTCTTGTTTAATTGGGCACTTCCTTCATTTGAGGTTTTTCTTCTTCTTCTTCGCACTGTAAAGCCTAACACACTATAAATTCCAATTCTATTAGCCTAGAGTTTCCACCACCGCAACAAGGATATCTTGACGGTAGTTCATCGGTGTCCGTGGAGCTAGGTCCAGCTGGTGAAAAACTTTCGGAAGTTTTGGAAAATCTTTTAATGTTCTGTGATATACGACTATTATTTCAGAAGACGTAACCCACAAAAAAGAAAAAGCGGCAGCCGTTTTTGAAACCACTTTCGGCATCGCACGGAAACCACGGGGTGGAATAAAATCATGAATTAAACATTCGCTAGCTGTATACTGCGAAGAATTCCGATCGATCATTGTTGTGATAGAACTATATAGTGGTCCTTTACTGTCCATTCTACAAACAACGAAGTAGATCAGAGAAAGTCACAGTCTCCATAAAATTTGTCTATTTTGACAATTATAATACGAATCTACTTTACACTCACTAGACTTTTACATCAAAATTATTTAACATGATGCCGCAAGAATAGTAAAATTACAATCCGAGAATAAACTTCAATGAGGATGTTTTTTCGACCTTTTTCTCTTCCCGCCAATTATACCTTTCATATGATTCTTAATTGTTCACGTGAAATCAGCCAAACCACAAAGCGTCTTCAACATCCCTACCAATTTCAAATCTAAATCATATATACGGTAATTGCTATATTTTACCAACACTAAAGCATCCCCGTAGAAGTAAAGCTTATCTAGGTGTTGATATAAACTATCCATAATTAATGTCCTACATTCTCAGTATGGATGCATGGTTAATGATTGGCGTTACTTGTTGTCATCTATAGATATTGTGGCGACGTTGGTTTCTCCGACAAGCTCTCAAAGAAGGCCAAATCCTTGGATGTCTGGCTCTGGAAGAGTCTTCACTAACCATCTATTTACAAAGGTAAGGACTACGACTTGCCACTAGCTGAAGATTATATATCCATGTTTTAAATATATATACATAAATTAATTTAAAATGTCTTTTAAATGTTTTTCT